CAAAAATTTAAGTCTATATCACAGGACAATTAAAGACCAGTCAAACAGCTGTGTATGGCTTCCACACATAGACCAACTAGACCAAGACTGTAATTCCACCAAGAGGCATTTATTTAAATAATTCAATTGCACAGTGTAGGTAAGCGGGTTGCAGCAATATGAAAATATAGAAATCTGAAAACAATCTGGCAAACTAAATATATATCTAATAACGCAGAGTATTCTGTAATAATAAGGAAGGGAAAAAAAACTTTGACTTTCAAGTTGGGATGATTTATTTGCACTTAAAAATACAATTTCTAAGAGGACATCTGTTTTCAAAAATGCCTAAATAGTAAAAATAGGAATAGGAACTGCTTTCTTCATATTGAAAATTTAGATTCCCTATCAGCATTAACCCACAAATCACAGATGATAACATTAACACAAATCAGCATGTGAAAACTCATTGGGAACACAATTTTTACATTAAAAATATCAGTTCACAGTTTTCTTCTTTCTCCTAGATTTATATTGATGAAAGGCTTTTATAGCTACAATCTCTCTTCCTCTCTGATACCAGAACCAATGCCTCGGGTTAGCAAATGGGTGTTACCAACACGTTCGTTTTACAAAGAGCTCTAACAGCTACAATATCCAAAACCGTTTTCTTTATAAAACTGTGAGTGCTGAGAAGCTGAAAGACATGAGACTGAGCTGAAACACAGCGAGGAACGGAAGCCCAGGGGCTGACAACCCCTTACCACAGAACACCGAACTATAAAGCACACACAAGTACACAACAGGAAACTTCAAACTGGTTTACAAAATGTTATGGCCTTATTTTGACTTAACCCCAAAATAAGTGATAAACAAATGTTATCAAAGAATTCGGAAATCTACTACATCCCAGAAGACAAGACAGGTCCATTTTGTTGCTGTTGTTGTTTTGAGGCAAAGAAAAAGTTCTCAAATGAAACATCTACAAAATAAATTTGCTTTGGAAATAAGTTGCTATAAGAAAATAATGTCTCACTTATTAAATATATATATTGGCCTTTGTATATAATTTAGCAACTTGCATAAAAATTTAAACATTCTATGAACATATGAAATGTTTTAAGATAGTGACATATAAGTGTGTCAGCTGGTGTTCATTCTGGTGTTCAGTTGTCAACAGCCAACAACAGAAAACAAGTGAAGGGGACCAACCACTGAGGTATAGAATATCCATGACACAATATGAGAACACAACACATTGTCAAGAATTCTTTTGTACAGCACACAGCAGTAAAATACATGCTGTCCCTCTGCAAATCTTGGTTAAACAGAACCCAACAGTGCTGTTTTCTTAAGTCATTAAATATAACTCAAGGCTTAAGATTTAAAATGTTTACCATAATCTCTCTTTTCATGTAAATTGTTTTCCTTTTTTTTTTTTTTTTTTTTTTTTTTTTTTTTTCTTTTTGTCTTTTTTGAGACAGGGTCTCCCTGTAGCCCCAGCTGTCCTGGAACTCACTATGTAGACCAGGCTGGCCTTGAACTCACAGAGATCCACCTGCCTCTCTGCCTCCCAAGTGCTGGGACCACAGGCATGTGCCACCATGCCCGGCTCGTAAATTATTTTCTTAAAAATAAATCATTTGGCAGCTCAGTGATAGAGTGCTTGCTTAGTATATGTGACAGACCCTTGGTTTAATCCCTAGGATGGGGGGGCAGGGGAGGTTGCAGTACAGAAAATATTTGTCTTCTCTGAAGAAAAAAAAAAAATCACTTCAGGAAAAAAGTGAATTAGTGAAAAATAATTTGTACTCATTTACTATCTCCAAAATTGCTATGGGGGCATTCAGCTGCATTAAAGATAGGACTGAAGAAAAATATCTAAATAATTTCTCAAGCAGAACGGGCCACATCTTCAAACTGCACAGACCTTCAAATTCAAAATAATGTTTAAAACATTAAACAATAAAATGCAAATAATATTCTTTACTGTGCTCAGTTATTTAGATTCTCTGGTCATCAGTTCTTTTACCTGGAAACAATTTCTTTTTATTTTCTTTTGGTAATGCCAAAAACCCCCACCAATAATTAAAACAAGATTGCTAAAAAGATTTAAGTAGCAATGAAACAAATGCTCCCAGTGTAATATGAAAGCATCCCTTAAACTCGTCATTTAAGTTATACATTTCGAAGAACTACTGGGTTAGCATACTAGGTGTACTGTATGTTAATGGTCAATAAATTTTACTTGTTTGTTATTATTATACCTTGCCTTTTCCGATTAAATATTCAACCTAGGGTTGAGGATATGGCTCAGTGGTAGAGTACTTACACAGCATACACCAGCTCCTTGGGCTCCATTTCTAGCACCGCAAAAAAATAAAATAAGATTCAAACTGTAGGCCTTTGCAAGCATTCTTTATTACTCAAATCTAGTGAGGCAGCGGCTCTGGGTTTTGCATGCAAAGTCCTGTCACAGTGCTACTGTGCTGAGCACAGGCCGCATGTATACTGCACCCAGGAGGGGATGGGGCTTAGCCTTCCTCTGATGCTAAGTCTACACATCCTTCTGCATGGTTAGGGCTAAGAACCTGTGCAGCCATCTCAACACACAGAATAGCTCTTCATTTCCTTCTAGAGTAATGACATTTTATACAGGATGGAATAGACTTAAATAGCCCTGAATAAGAAGGTCTTACCCAACAAGATCAGATGGAACTACTCACCACAAACACCATCTTCCCTGAAGATAAATTCTGATTGTGCCTTGTTCATTACATATCAAGTTCAACATTCTAAAATAACAAAGCTAACTGCAAATGTAAATACAAACAAAAATACTAACCAGAGAAGCAGGGTTTTAGTAGTCTTAAATACTACCAATACTACTTACTTACTTAAGTACTATACTTAAGTATTTAGGTTTATAAGAAAGCAGTTTGGAGAAAGCCCAGGACTCCTGAAGAACACAGATAATTGTCTAACATTCATTAGTTCTTTCATATTATTTATCAACCTATGAGATGCACCTACTGACATATTAGATTTATCAATGTATCAAATCAAGAAATGTTTAAAGAGAGTAAGACTAAGTCTATTCATGGGTATCACTTATGCATATACATCCTAAAATTTTTACAATAGGCAGCAAGAAGGCATAAGGCATACGAATTTAGGTAATCCATCTTCCATGTTAATTTGTAAATGGATAACTTGTGTCTAGCAATCTTTAAATAGTATGCCGGGCTAGCTGAGAGCATCCATGTTAGCACATTGATAATATAAAAGAATTGCACAGGAGTCACTAAATTTTTCAGAAATTACCTTACTAGTTTACTCATGAAATCTATTATTTCAAAGGTGGAAGTCACTCTGCTACAATTCTAATAGTTGTACTTTGTGACAATGCAAAGATTACCTATAAAATCAGACTAAACTAGTAATCTTAAAGACTTTTAGACTGGCACCCAAGGAGGGCAGCAGGGCATGAGGTGGGTGAGACCAAGGTTCAAGCATGCCAGTGAGCTCAATCATCTGTAGAAGAAACAGCAAGAATGAGTTTAAAAGTAAATCATGAATAGATATTTTAAAGATAATTGATGATGTGACCGATGAGGACTGGGTAGTCACAGTAGACAGCAAGGAAATGCCAGAAGGCCAGAAGCGAGCCCAGGAGGCCTCCAAGAACCACTGCAGGTAGGAAGGAGGGTCCCTGAGCCCAGCTTCATCCCACAGGTCATGGCCATTTCAGGGGCTTAGCAGCACAGCTATCAAGTGGCTCCTGCATCAGACAGAAGATGACAGACAGTGCTGTACTGTCAAAGGGCTGAAAAGGGTAGAATAATCCTAAAATCATTCCAGGCCTGATGAATCACAAAACCTAAGGTTTCAACCACTGGGACTTCATTAACTAGTTTTAACTAAATGCACAGAAATTGAAGATTTAGAATTACAAAGAATAGAACTGAGGGGGGATCATTGAAGAATTCATCAGAGTAATTCCAGAAATGATTTTTCCAATTGGTCATAAAGACCATTTTAAAATCATTTTTACTGTCGGGGGTGGGGTCTGACTCACAAAGATCAATAGTTAGACTTACAGGGATGGATGAGACATGACGTTATAGTGAGTGTTAAGAGTGGACGTTATTGGTTCTATCTCAGTACAGTGACCTGACAGAAGGGACACCCACTTCTACTTGAGGAGGAGACACTCTTTATTACCCTTAGCCACTATGGATTTTAAGCCCTGGTCAAAGAATCACAGAATGATCTAATCTCAAATTCAACTAAGAACTCAGACCAGGTAGGAATGACAGTCACCCAGTACTGCTAAACTCATCTGTTTGCTAAAGATCTCTTTGGACTGCTTTAGACTATGGGGTTGCTCTAATGATATTTACTAACCTGGAATTTACCTTCCTATAGCTTCGACCCACTTGTCTTACCTCTGCCTTCTGAAGGGACAGAAAACCAATGAACTGTTTCCTCTATAACTTGGAACATCTATCTTGGACAAAGCAAGCATTAAAATACACATCCAGGGGCTGGAGAGATGGCTCAGCAGTTAAGAGTATGTATTGCTCTTGCAGAAGACCAGAGTTCAGCTCCCAATACCCACATCAGACACTGCATAACCACCTGTAACTCCAGCTCTAGAGGCTCCAGAACTCTCTGTGGCCTCCACGTGCACATACTACCCCACACCAAATACATATACACATAATTAAAAAACAAAATATACACCAGGAACTGATAGTTAATCTTCCATTAACTGTCAAGCAGAAACCATGCAAACTTTCTCACCCATCCTATGAGACACAACCATCAAATTCACAAAGCACCAATCAGAACAATGCCTTTCTAATTAAAAATAAACAAGGACAATTTTGTCAGTGACTATACAAACTGCTGTCGGACACAGTAGCAACCCGACTCCATCACGCATGTCTCTCAAAGGACGATTAGATAAAACACTATCTCTCAGATACTCAGACTTCACAAAACACCCTAAGCCAAACTAGATTTAAAAGACTCTTTACTAAGTCACATGAAATTGGTGTCAACACAGTACCTTGAACATGACAGAAAATAGACAGATGTCTGTAGCACTAATACTATTACAGTACTTAAAAATACACCAGATAGAGGATTCATACTGCCAACTGTCAGGTCCTACAAAGAGAATATGAACAATAAAAACAAGAAAACCACCATCTAGAGACACAATAAAAAGAGAAACATAAAAAACAAAACAAACACAGACCAAGAAAACACAAAACAAAATAAAAGGGACAGATGAATTTTACTTCCATTTCTCTATGTAGCTAAAAAGTAAAATAGGCATTAAAAAGGTTTTATATTATCTAGTTGTATGCATCTCTGTATATGAATGTAAGCCACTTGTGCAGGTGCCACACAGGCCACCAGAGGGTGCTGGGTCCCCTGGAGCTACAGGCAGCTGTGAGCGGCCCAACGTGGGTCCTCTGGGAGAACAGGAAGTGCTCTTAACCACTCTGCCACTTCTCCAGCCCCTGAAATAGTCATTATTAGCTAAATTTTTTTTCACTTTATACTAGAATGAGAATTTTTTTTACAGACGTTCAGCTCTGACAGCTTCTCACAAAAATATGGGTATATATACTTTAATAATATGGCTCTATATGCTTTAAAAATAATGTTATTAAAGCTCTTCTAAGTAATTTGTAAACTTTCCAAAGTTATATATAATTATAGAACATACTTCTATGACTACAGTAAAATGACAATATTCTCTTTTGTCTGTAGCTAGTTATAGTATCTATATTAATAGGACACAATGGCGTCTGCCCCACATTATCTCAAGGTATACTCTGACTTGAGCTGTATTTATCACCTTCCTCTGCAAATACTTCTCCAATGTTGGTCAAGAATCATCAGTACCTTAAATGAGACAGCACCAAATACCCGCCGGCACAGATGTTACTGCAGCAGGGACCAACAACTTCATAATCTGGGCTACTGTCAGTGCCAAATGCATAAATAAATTTAAAGAATGCCCACACTTTTTCATGGTACGGCAGAGACCACAGACAGACTCAGCCAATACTCTTATGTAGATACTGTAATTAGTGCATAAAGCCACAATTATCAGAACCACTGATACTTACATAGCCTGTTTATAGAAGGCTTCCAATAACCACATGCATGAACTAACTGAGCCCCCAGAGTGCTACATTGGTATCCCCACTGGGAAATCCACGTCCCAAAGGGTAAGTCACTTGTTCTACATCATGGAACTATTAACCAACAGAAAGACTCTTGACTCTAAATCTGGGGCTCATCTAGACAAGTTACTGTTCTTTGAAACAGGAACAGAAACAGGATAAAACCCAGATTCGTGGATTCATGAGCTCTTTTTCCTCACTGGATGGAATCTGGTCTTTAGCTACAAGATTGGGGGGAAGCGACTGAAAAGATACAATGGAGCACTCTGAATGGGAACACATTGGGTTAAACACTGCTGACAATAAATACCTAACACACAGGCTCACAGTTACAGAACTGAGAGACCTTAAAAGTCAGCTGCTCTTTTTCTATGAGGAAGATATGGTGGTGCACAGGAGGGGGACTCTGGAAAGGTCACTGGCTCTGCTCACCAGGAGCAGAGCCAGGACCACACAGGACCAGGCTTTTTCAGCTCCATGCTCTGATTCTGTTTCCTACATAAAGGACCAAGAACAGGAACCATCACAGTGTTGGATTAGAAAATGAGATCTTGGTAATATCCTAAAAAGCATAGATATTTTGCATATTATTTAAAGCAGTAGGGATTTTCCTTCCTATAAGAAAAATAATCAATGTATATATCTTAGGCTTCATCACTAAAGTTAAGGATTTCTAAAATATAGCTTTTTCTTCCCTTTAGATAGATAGGAAATGTGTCTGGGGTTGTGTTATGTCAGAGTTAAGTACATTTAAAACAAAGGAGTTTCTAAAAAGTATCACACCTTTGACCCATATGAAGAGCAGAAACCCAGGAACTTACGATTGTATCATCTCATAGAGATACAGGTCTCTTCAGGCTATGGAGTACATCCTCCCAGCCCAGTTCACACCCTCTGCTTCTCTCTTCCAGAATCTTCAGAAACTCACTATTAACGTTATATTAGATGTGATACTTACTTCCTCTCTGAGATCTGAATACTAAGCAACAACATATCTTTGAAGCTTAATGGACAACCCAATCTAAAAGTGGTTCAGCTTATAAAGTCTTTTGCTACTTGAACAATATTAATTTTTACATGAAAAATAATCTCAAGAGATTATATTAGACCTACAAGTCTTTTAAAAGATTTCTTTATCTCCCAATTAAAATCTAATATGAAATTCTTTAAAGAGGCAAAGTCTAAGAATTTCTATATAGTACTGAATGTCATTCCATGGGGGAAATACAGAGACCAACAGTATATAACTCAGGTGACAGAAAGCATTTGACTCTAAAACTGGCTTTCCTTTTCTTAGTCTCAAGAGCACTTTTCCACTTTAATATAAGGTCTGATCTCCAGAGCAGAAGCCATTGTTAACTGGGGGGAAAGTCCATCTTTCCTGTTCTGATCAATCTGAGGATGTTTTTTTCCAGAGATGAAGAGCTGCTTGAATCCTGAAGTGTAGTCTGGACTCCAAGGAGTAATCTTTGAAGTTGTTCCTGGGGGAGATAAAGAATAAGGTGTCACAGTCATCGTTTCCTGCCTAGCGGGGCACCACCACCTTTCTCTGCCTCCCTCTAACCTAACATTAATATGAAAACAAGTGGAGCTTAGTGAAAAGCAGATTCTGCTTCGGTGGGGAGACGGGAACAGCTTCTGGCTTTCCAGAAGCTTCCCAGTGGTAATTTCAAGGACATACTTTGAGCAGGACATCCTACTTAATTACCAAGCCACAACCACACCGAGGTCACGAGCAGAACAGAACACATTTTGGAACAACTGCTGAATAGTTTGACTTCTTCTTTTAAATAGGAAAAGGTTAAGGCAGGTTTATATAAGCACGATCTACTGCTCAGAAGAAGAAAATACCTTGAAACCTCCAGGAAACAATCATAGCAGCATTACCATCTGACACCAAAGTTACTTATTCCAGTGCTCAGCCACTAATTATATAATTACAACAGTGTTAGAAGAGGCCATAGATGGCTTGGAGGGTGGCACAGTAGTAGAGGAGTTGCCTGGTACCTAGGAGGCCTTGGGACCAATCCCCAGCACCATGGAAAGGGAGAGGGACACAGAAATCCAAACACTACTTAAAATTATTCATGTTGACCTCTCTTTACTAATGCTGTTAAGAATCAGTAAAATGGCTAAAATAGCTTTGATTCTGGCCTACAGGTTCTGAACACGGCCCTGCAGACCAGCAGCCTCTACTGAGTCCTTGGGCATAGCTTTTCTTCCTCTATCTTTTCATTGTACACAGTTCTCAAGGCTACTTAATAACGATGACAGCACGATGTATTAAGTCAGCATCTTACTAGAACTGATAAAGAAGAACTGGATATTTCTAAATGTCTAGTCACCAATTTGGGCAGCTTTGCAGAGCTCCTGCCATGAAGGGGAAACTGCAGAGAGAGATGGTCCCAAAATTGCTGGACGGTGTTTATGTCTGGATGATTGGTACTGCTTGCATTGGCAGTGGCTTTGGATGCTTTTTAGGAGTAAAAAGCATCTTTCATCTCTTTCATCATACAGCTGCTCTATTCACACTGTGTACACCGAACATGCTATAACAATAAACATCTGAAGCAATAGCGTTTACTGTCTGAAGTGTCCTTGAAGCTAGACTTGAAGATATACAGACATCACAGTTGAATCAGTCATTCTCATTCTAAAACGTGACTTTCAAAGCGACTTGTTCCCGTATCACCTGCTTGTTTTTTAAGCAGTCTTTCTCTGAACCATGTTGCTAAGACTTCTTCCCCATTACTACAAACATCCTGAAAGTCTTGCCTGCCACAGTTGACCATTTCTCTCTTTGCCTCCCTTGACAAGGTTGCCTATGGCCCCTGTACTTGGGAAATCGGCAGCTCCTCCTCTGCTCTTAGGCTGCCTGAACTCTCCACGGCCGCTCTCATAACCGGATATTCTCACTTTTTTCAAAATATTGGCTTTTTATATTTGAATGCATCTTAGCTAAATGATAAACCCAGAGATTTTCGTGATTATTCGCAGATGTGTGTGTAATATGTGAAGGGGGTATGCATGCCATGGAGCTTGTGGAGGTCGGAGGACAACGCTATGGATTTGGTTCTTTCCTTCTACCTTTATGTGGGTTCTGGAAATCAAACTCAAGTCTCCAGGCTTGTGCGGCAAGCACTTGATCTGCTGAGCCACATGCTGATTTTCAAATCTGCTTTGAAACAACCTTAATCAAACTTGATTTGTGTGGAAAATTAAAAACAAAACCAGAAACCTTGGCTTTTCTTGATGTCCTCTTAACTCCACTTAATCTTATTAAGATGCTAACCTTCCTAATCTTACTGCTTAACCCCTAAAATGATGCCATGTTCTAGACCTCCATCTCCTGCTCTGTAGCTTTCCCCAAATGACCTCAAATATGATGATTTTAAATATCACATGCTTCGTGTCAGGGACTTTGAACTACATACATGTACCCTGACCTTACCACAAAGAGAGGTGCTTCTTTCTTTCCCCAAACCTGTTCTTCTGAGTGTTTGTTCTTGGTTTAGAAAAAAAAAAAAAAAAAAAAAAAATCACTGACCACCTAATGGTTCAAACTGAACGATTCAGAGGTTCCCTAGCAAGCAGTTTCAGTGGGAATGCTCCCTACCCAGTCTTCTGGTGACTGATCTTCTCAAAACTAGCTTTAATTATACAGTGACATATCATCTCCCCCAAAGAAATCAACTCAATTTGCATCCAGGTATTCTGTATCACACTGTACACTTCAACCAAGCACCTGCCACTGACGTTCTTCTCACTTGACCGTTTGATATCTAACACTCTCTGTATTCCTATTTAGTTTACAGCTGCCTCTCTGTGGCCTTTACTCTCTGCGGCATAGAATAGATACACAGTGAATATTTGTTAAATTTGAAGAAACAAATGAACCAATGACTACTAAGTTATTTATGACCTAGAATGGTTTGGGCTTTTTGGATTTTGACAAGGTCTTATTCTGTAGCCCAGGCTGGCTCAACTTGTGGCAACCCTCCTGCTATATCCAGCAGGCCTAGAGTTTTTACAGCATTGTTTCTCTACTGCCTCTAAGTGTTCTAGGCAAACAGAGCACAGGGTGTTTGCCCTGCTGGAGGTTTGAGTCATCTAGCAGAAATGATAAAAAGAAAATTAGAGTTATCACAGAAGAAAGAAACTCAGGGAAAGGCCAAAGACCTTCATGTGATCAGAGGCTCTTCAAGGGAGCAAAGGTAAGATTTCTATGACAAAACCTGGTCAGTTACACGTTCACAATCACATCTGTAGGTAGCCAAGGGTTGATGCCGTAAGAGGCCGGAAACAGTGCAGTTAAGTCAAAAGCCGTGAGCATAAATTAACCCAAGTTGGCAAAAGCCATCGTGCTATACTTGTGTGAGCTTATTAATCTGGAGTGCATGACATCACTGCTGCTGCTGCAATGGTAGATGCACCTAACTATGTCCTCGGGAAAGGCTGCCTTCCGTACTCACCTTGCAGTTTCTAGGACCTTTATGGCCTTGTCAATCTCCCCTTGACTTTTATACAAAAATGCCAACTCAAACAGAGTGAACGGCACCAGGTAGTGGTCATACTTCAGGAGCTTCTCACTGAAAGAACAAAGGAAGATCAGGAACAGGTGACAGAACACAAAAAAGGATCATTTTAAAAATATTTATTATTTTTATTTCATGTGTATGAATGTATTGCCTGCATGTATGTGAGCACACCCATGTTGTACACTGCCGCGGTGGTCAGAAGAGGGCTTCAGATTCCCCTGGAACTGGAGTTAAAGACATTTCTTAGTGGCCATGTGGGTTCTGGGAATCGAACCCGGGTCCTCTGCAAGAGCAGTCAGTGATCTTAACTGCTGAGCCATCTCTCCAGCCCCACATTTTTTTAAAACATTATTTCATTTCCCAAAAATACAGACACAATTAAGACTATTTCCAGAGAAATGCTGCTGTCAAATAGCTACAGAACTTAAACTAAGGGAATCAACAGCATGCTTTCAACATATTTTACGCATCACTGCCTCTCTGGCAGATCAATGCAGAGACCTCTCAAGATGAACCTAGAGACAACAAAATCATCCTTTGAGTATGTGATTCTAAATGTGTCCATTTAGGAACAAGCTGTACTAAAAACAATCCTGAACATCACTTTCCTTTGTATTTAAGTCTTAAAATGTTTCAAGATGTCACTGAAGAAATGGTCAGCAGCTCTGTTTCCAGTGCCATTATGAAAAAAACTCCTGGCTACTGAAGTCCCTAGAAGCTCAGGAAAAAGTATGAGTAACACCCACTTAAATTTATAGTCTAGTTCACCAGACTACAAGCAAAACTCTGGAATCCCAGAAAGAGTTAAAGGCAGGAAGGAGGTCTACTGACTGCGTCCTGGGGTCTGCTCCCACCCGAGTAGGCATGGTTTTGCTTCTTAATTCCCACCCAGAACATGAAGCTGTGGGCCCAGAGAAAATAGGTGGTTGGAACTAAGACCCCTAAGCTTTAAAGAAAGGGCAAACTAGAAGAAACCCAGTCACTAGCAAGAAACAACACAAGGACAGTGGCTCCCTTTACCTGCCTTTGGCAAGGAGAAAAAAAAAATCTCTTTGGCAATTAACAACCAAATTTAAAAGTTAAATTTACATTTCTCAAATTATCTAAGAACCTATAAGTTGTGAAATTAACAAGAAAGTTGCTCTGGTAGAAATCCTTTCAGGAAAGAAAAGAAGCAAAAGTAGTTTAGGGAAACTCTTCCTCAAAGTAGCCTCACACATCTAAATCACCATTGAAGGTGATCTCACAGTTCAAAAACATGTGAGAGTCAAGAAACACAAAACAGCACAAATGGTCATTGGTGATCATCAGCCTTTCTGTCCTTATGAAAACACCAATAAACCAGAACTCCGTGCACACTTTTTTAATGTTTGGTAAATACAGTATATTATGTTATTTGGGAAGTCGACATTGTCTCCTATATTCCCATCAATAGTGTCGTGAGGGAGAGAACCAGGTGGCCATGCACGGAAAGGCACACAACATAAAACAGGATGTCACCTGGCATTGTACCGCTGTGATCTTTTTGGCTTGCGGTGCTTTCACAAACATTGAGCCAATATTTAAAAATCAGATCTGACATGGAATCCAGCTTCTAGCTTCTTCATGAAAAGTGGCAGGGCTTCTTGTTACTGGGCCCACATTGTATAAAGTGATTATCCATGAGCACTGAGGAGAGGTCAGTCTTTAGAGAGAACACAACGTCCCAAATGCACAGAGGCCACCATGCCTGCCAGCATTTAGCCTGCCGTAATCAGGAGGGCAACTTGACTGGTCCCTGCAAGTATTCGCATTGTCATACAGAGAAGAGGGTCGCATGCATTCATACCCTTGTTCTAACTTATGACTAGAAACGGATCTGGGCAGTATGGTCTCTGCTATCCAAAAACAAACAAAACAAATCATCACATGTAGAAGAAATTCCCTTTGCCAAAGAGCAGATATAGTATCTGTCGTGTTTTTCTTACCTGCCAAATTATCACAACGATGGAACACTCAAACTCTAGAATATAGCACCACCTCTGTCCATAAGTGGGTGCTCAAATATATGCAGAATAAATGAATGTGCTCCCACCCCCCAAAGAAGGAACGGAACAAATGTGTTTAAAGAGGCTCAGTATACATTTCCAGAATCTGGATCGATGCTTTTCCTAGACCTACATTTTGTGAGTTATCTTCAGACACTGAGGAGAAAAGCATGAAGTCCTTTCTCCCACAGCTTTGTTCACAGGAACAAAGGAAGCACTGCTGGGTTCTCCCTCGGTAAGGCCAAGTCAATTTCATCAGTATGGGAGGAGAGCGCGTCCACCGCTTTCCCACAGAATTCCCCTGAAAGCACACGCTGTACTCAGGCTGGTTCTTACCTTTCCACAACGTGATTGAAACAAAGCTCAGCTTGCAAGGGCCGTTGTAAATTCTTGAGGCAGCATCCTTTAAGTAACTTCACTAAGCACTCATCATCCACAGAGTAGTCATTAAAATCTTAAAACAAATAAGAAACATAAATGAAAAGGGAAAAATACCTTCTTTTCTGTGATGCCTGGGGTGAATCCTAGGGCCTCCTATGTTCTGGCAAGCACTCTGTGACTGGCTGTACTTCCCGCCCAACAACACTTCTAAAAAATCCTATTTAGGATGAATTGATCTTAGTTTTCAGAGGGCCCATTTAAAAATAAAGAAAATGTTTTTAGTGTTTATTATGGCTCACTAAATAAAACACAATGAAAACATTCTCATTTCCAAGAACACGGAATATACTGCACCCCACATCATTCTATTAAGGGGGTTCACTGGCAAAGATTTTTCAGGTAGTCATTCAGGATTTTGTGACCTTAGATACAACAGGAAATCTGAACTCTAAATGAAGAGCGCACTTCGTTAATTCTATCAGAGGGAGAGAGGAGGAAGAGCTGTCTCTCCCTGTAGTTGTGGCTTCTAGCTGTGCTGGCATCCTTGCAGGAGAGGATAGCACTTCCATATGGAGAAACAGATGGCCTCCCACCCAGCAAAAATTCAGGAAGCAGAAACCCCTCTCCAGATCATTATGTTTACAACCTATCAATTCTCCCAGGTTATGTTCTTTTGGGGGAAAATTGTGTCATAAAATTAGATAAAATGGTTCTGAAATACAAGAAAAGCATCTAAAATCCCCACCAACTTCTACACTGCAGGGTAAGATCAAGGATTTTCTTTCCCACTCGGCCCTCCTTCTACAGCTCAATTCAAGTGTGTACTAGGCAGAATGATCCTCGCCGAGCAGCAGTACCTGACAAAGGCAGCCGTGCCACATTTACTGCCTGGGGAGGTTTTTCTGCTTTTTCCTTTTGCAAGTTACATGCAGCTAAAAAGTCATTCCAAGACAGTCTGCTAATTTACACATTTCAGGCTGTGACAACAGGGGGTGGGGTGACAAAGGGAGCTAATGAGTCCCTGCACTGAAAGTCTCCTGCTTCTAGTAGGCACCTCAGACATCAGCAGTGACACGTGTTGGTGTTTTAGTTGGCAAACTCTTGCCTATAGGAGGTTACCAATACCAACTAGAAGGGGGCCACTTAACTTCTAGGTGCTGAAGAAAATGTCTGAGATTCACCTCCCTGCAAACGCCGACAGGTCATAGGTCACTCATGAAGAAAACCACACATACCAACACCACTAACCTTCCTGTTACTTGTTTGGAACCATTTTCCCTACACCCTTCTGTTGCAGTCGAGTGATACTTCTAATCTAGGGTGTCTGTTGACACCTAATCTTGAGTCTGTATATACTCAAGAAGCAGCATCAGTCAGAGCCTAGACCCAAAGCCTGAAGGTCCATATAAGACATTAGTTTTCAGTGTCACTTCTGTACATTCTATTGAATTTTGTGTCAATTTTCTGACAGTTTGTGCTATGACAATGTTCACTTGCTCAGTGAATGATGACTTTTGAGCAGGAACAGACAGAACACCATGGAAACTGCCAGCAAAGTCACATACCACCTATGGCGATCTTGAGTAAGCAATGTGGCAGAGTTCAAATTCTACATCCTTCAAAGACCTTTGAAGCAAAGCCACTGTCTCCTCTGACCACAATCACCGTCGGTCAGATGATCATCACCTTACAGTGATTCACAATCAACGAAAGAGTTCACAGATGACTTCAACAGTTTCCATCTTCCATTAGAAAATATGCCACAGTAACAGGGCTGGCGAGACGGCACAGTGAGTTAAGATGCTTGCCACTGAGCTTGCTGACCTGAGAGTGATCCCCAGGGCCCACGTAGTAGAAGGAAAGAACTGACTCCCACAAGTTGTCCTCTGACCTCCACACACATGCCGTGGTGTGCAAATGCAAAGACATACATACATACACACACACACACACACACACACACACACACACACTAAATAAATGTCAAAATTTGTTTAAGGGGCTGGAGAGATGGCTCAGTGGTTAAGAGCACCAACTGCTCTTGCAGAGGACCCGGGCTCAAATCCCAGCACCCACATGATGGCTAACAACCATCCATAACTCCAGTTCCAGAGAATCTGACGCCCTCTCCCGACCTCTATGGGCACTGCATGACATGGGTGTACTTATACACATGCAGGCAATATACGCATACACATAAAATAAAAATAATAAAGTGTTTTTTAAAATGGCTTAAATCACGGTTTGACACCTAGGCTGTGTGTAGTACAAGCTCCTGGATGTCCTAACGTAGGTGGGCTGAGAAGGAAAGATATCTGAACAGCAAGCTACAAAAATGTCTATGCTGAACCTTCTAGAAACTAGTTGCAATGCACTAAGAAGAAAGCTCGAAGAGCGACTGGGACAGAGAAAGCCATGAGGCAGTCACATGTTCCCCCTTTATGTAACACATTCTACTTGCAAGATAATGCTACCAAGCAAATTAGCTGCAATAAATAGACAAAGTGGATCCGCTGTGCCAACTTCTGGCTACATGATGGATTTGTTAGTGTTCCAAAGAAACACTACAGAAAGTAATACCAAAGGCTGAGCATGTAACCAAGTGCTGGCGCTGTCCCCTTTTGTAGATGACCAGCCTTTAATAACTGTGGCCAGAGCACTATGGTAAACCAGCTGTACTCTCTGCTCTCTGTTTCTTTAGCTATACTTGCCAATACCCACGACCCTGAGAGCACTGTATTAAGTAAAATAAAACTACACAAATATGCTACCTTTCTTTTTTGTTGCTGATGTTGTTTTGAGACAAGATCTCAAAAAGCCCAGGCTGGCCTTTAATTTGCCACGTAGCTGAAGCTGGCCCTGAGCTCCTGGTCCTCCTGTCTCTACCTCTCAATGTGATGTCATTTTAGATGAGGTCTCTAGAACAGTCAGACTCAGTAGCAGGAGGAAGAGTGGCTGCCAGAGCTAGGAGAAAGGGAGGAACGAGCAGCCGTTTTTCAGGGGATATGGGAAGTTCTACGTTGATGCGAACATGCTTAACACCACTAACTGCACCCTGGCTGAGAGGGTAAATTTTACGTTACATGTTTTCCCACCACAATTAAAACTGTTAAAAATATACCACTATAAGAACAAAAGCTAAGGACTCTCCCACAGCACCATACAACAGAAACCATGTAGGAAATGTTCGAAGTGCTAGAATATCTAAAGCACATGATGGAAACCCAAAATGTCCACAGGGCAAGTCTGTCCCTGCCCTCACACGCTGGCTCTGTGCTGAACAGTATAAGCCTCCAATTCTTTTTGGCGCCAGTTCTTAGCTTTCCATATGCTTTGTGTCCCTGGTGCTCAGACTTCAGAAGGAATTCTCATTCCATTGAGACAAACCCTTCCATAGTGTGGCTACCTGACCTGAGGAAAGTCATAGACTTCTCTGAGGAAGGAGAGCCAAAAGGAGAGAAAGGGAGCAAGGTCCTTTCATAAAGTTCTGTCTATGCTATGGAAGTTCTGTCTGTGCTACCCCTCATCAAATATGAACTCTGCTGTGAGGGGAGGACAGCACCAGTCTCCCTGTGACCCTGCTCTATGTTGGCACGGTGGCTCAGGGAAGGAGGTGGAGGGTCTGTGGCCTCAAAAATCACTTCACTTCTGTGTTCTGATTCTGAGCTATCTCGACACCCTGTTCTCATGAGCAGCTCAGCCTACTGATTCAGTCTTCTGCTGCTAGACATCTAAACTAGGATCATTTCAAACGGGAAAAGCACGACACAGAGACTAGATCACATTTTGCTATTTCAGCTTTATGGAGTGCTATGAAGATGTTGGCATTTATAAGTGCCATTAGCCAAAACTTAAAATATTTCTGAGATACTAAATGGAAAAAAAACTAGACTAGTATATAATGGATATCCTGTGCTTTTAACTCTAAAATTGTGGAAAGGATGTAATACAGGAAAAATTCCAACTTAGTTATGGTAGAGGCAAAGCTACAGATGACTATCCCCCACGTATGTTTCATCCTGGCACATGTGCATCGCCAGAGCTTAGCACTGTGGAGCCTGCCTTCCTCGGGTGACCACCCTTTTCTAGTTAAGAAGCTAACTGTTACTGTTTTCCCTTCCATTCCTGGAGGTGTTTGCCCTTTACCAGGCTTATCAACACAGGACTTTTGATTTAACTTCTATGATTAGAGCATTCCTGGTGCTGCGGACTGAGTCCACGGCCTCCCACACACTAGGTGAGCACTCTGCCACTAAGCTACATCCTAGACCTCTGCATCTTTCTTGTAACTGTTTTCAAATACAGTTCACACAGAATTCATTTATTTAAACTTGACATACAATAATTTTCAGTTATTTACAGAGCCGTACAATCATCACCACAATCTATTTTAGTACATTTCCACACTCCCAGGAAATGCCGTATGTTTAACCTTCCATGCCCACTGTACTTCCTCCATCTCCAAGCAACCACTAATCTTTCTTTTTTTTAATAAATTTTATTTATTATTTTTATTTTATGTGTATGCGTGTATTGCCTGCATGTAGGTAAGTGCACCCGTGTCATGCAATGCCCACGGAGGACAGAAGAGGCTGTCAGATCCTCTGGAACTCGAGTCATGGACAGTTGTTAGCTGCCATGTGGGTCTGGGATTCAAACCCGGGTCTTCTGCAAGAACAACCAGTGTTCTTAACCGCTGAGCCATCTCTCTAGCCCCGACTTTCTGACTTTAAACGTTGACAGTCATAAATGGACTCACACACCATACGGTCTTTTGCATCAGACATCTTTGCTTAGGACAGTGTCCTCAAGGTTCATTCATGCTTAGGGGGTATCATCCTCCCTTCATCTGATCGCAACCACCCAGACAGACACCGGCAGCTCATGCTAACTCTTGCCCTCGTGATGCAAAAACTGACATAGACAGACGTGTACCTGGAACAGAAAAAGGGTGGAAATGGAGCAAAGCCAAGGCTGCTGCTCTATACGTACCTTGATTCTGCAAAGCTGCCTCAGCCTTTTCAATAGTTACCAAGAGGTTTTCAGAAAGGTCTTTTCTTTTGCCCACGATTGAAAAGCCATTCCAGACATACATCATTTCCTAATGAGGAAGAATGAAAAACCATTTTACAATTATGTGAGGTTATTTGCTAAGGACCTCAAAATGACAGGGATGATTTCCCTCACCTTTCTTCACTTGGAGTTTAGTGACATAATCTCCTTTTGTTTTACTATATGCCCTTTGTCTTTTATACTGTGAAGTAATTAAGTATTTATCTTATGCTTTTACTGAAAAATTAATTTATTTACTCATTCAACAAACACATTAATCATCTATTCTATACAATTCTTTGGGAATATAATATAGATACAGAAGTGAATTAATATTTTAAACTGACACTATGAACAATTTTGTTTAATGTAAATTTTTGTCATTACTTTTAAGTAAAGGGAAATATTTTAAAATGTCTGCTAGTTGTTTACATAAACTGTTTCCAAGCATATCACTAGAAATGAACATTGGAATATTTTACTGGGCTCTGGTTCTTTTATACCATTAAAAACACATGTCAGTCCGGTAATGCAATCCAATATGCAGAAAACACATTCGTTTAAAGGCCATATGGCTGAATGACAGCTCCTGAAAATGTAAACTAATGACTTCTTGTTGCAGATTATATTTAATGGGCTAACAGATGAGAATGTTTTTTGGATCAAAAGCAAATGTGCTCTTGCTTGAAAATATTTTTCTAATGTTCCTGATAGTGCAGTTCATATTTTGAAAGGGATACAATAAGCAGGTAATTAGTATCTTTGTGGAAATAAATGAATTTTAAAATGTGATAGATATTGCTTGAAAAGCCTCTTAGCAGGGCAGCAGTAGGAATGACCAAAATACCGCTAGGTTTATTCTATGGCACTCAAAGCTCAGGTCACAATTCAATGATGATGAGTATTTTTAAATAGATGATTTAAATTTTTTATTGATGTGATATTTTATCAAAAGAAGAGACAAAGCTCATGGCTGAGATTTTATGAAAATCAGCTATGGTAAAATCCCCAGGTAAGATCGAGTCAAGCCAATCCCTTGTCCTTGTGTATCACTGACTTGGAGAAACATGCTGATTCTTATCAGCCAAAGCATGATAGGGTCTTACTCAGACCAGCGTCTAAGTACTAGTGCAGACAAAGAAATCTGACGGTTGAATACATTTTCTGGAAAGATCTCTGACACAGGAAAATCTTCCCAGAGCAAACCACTTGACAAAAACAAATGAAGAGCCGAACTAAAGCTAATTGACAAGGCAACAACAGGCGATCCCTGTCAGCTGGGAGATGCGGTTTGGGTTTTTTCTATGGCCTACAAGGTGCTCTTGTGTCACACACGATTACAGGTTGGTCAATTCTGTCTCGCTCCACCAATCTGGTCCTGGTGTTCCTGGCTGTTTATGGCATGAGGGAACACCAGCCTAGGTGCTAGCTGCAGGTGCATCCTACCCGACGCCTATTAGGGACTACATTTTTATTTCTCACAGGATGCGCAAAGAACTTCTGTCAGTCAGTAACAAAATAAGAAATACCCAATGAAAAGTTAAAGAGGGATGTGAACAACAATGCAAGAAAAACTAAAAATGAATGAGCTCACGAAGGTGCTCAACAGTGTCAACACTGAAATGCAAATTAAAGAAGGAAGTAATTCAGTCATTTGAATTGACACAGTTTTGGGAAAGGACAGAAATTTGGCATTATCTACCCAAACATCAAACACATATATCCTTCAACCAAGAACTCAATTTCTTCAAACAATCCTAGAGAATTACATGTACATGCACAAAAAAGAGTATTCATTATAGCATGCATGTAATAGTAAAAACTGGAAAAAATCTACATAACTTTCAAAGGAGGATGATTAAATAAACCGTGCAATAAAAAAATTAGATTTGGGGCTGGAGAGATGGCTCAGCAGTTAAGAGCACTGGCTGCTCTTGCAGAAAGCTGAGGATACAGTGAGATCTTGTCTCAAAACACCAAAATATATTGTAAAATTTTTAATTAGTTAGGGAGAACTTTGCAAATTTGTTCAAAGCGAACTAAAAATAGGGCGAGTAAACCCAAATGGGGATTTAACTGTATTTTATGGTAGATTTGTGACAAAAATAGATAACAAGGGACTGGAGAGATGGCTAAGAAGTTAAGAGCACTGGCTTCTCAGAAAGAGGACCCAAGTTTGATTTCCAGCACCCACATGGTGGCTAACAACTGTCCGTATTCCAGTTCCGGGAGATCCAACTCTCTCCTCTGACCTCCAGGGGCATGTACATACATGTAGGCAATACACTCATACACACAAAATAAAAATAATTAAATATTTTTAAAAATAGATTTATAAAACATAACAGAAGGATTCATACATTGCAGTCAACAGCTTTGCTATGCTGACTACCTAGACAAGAATAGAATTCCCAGAGACAAAGCACTTTAATATATTTAGTACCTTCCCAAAAGAAGACTTTATTTTTAAAAATTCCAAGTCAAAATTGTCTTTTTCACAGGAACTCTGCCCAAACAGCAAGATGATTAGGAGTGTGAGCTAAAGGGGGAGGGGAGCAGCCAGCTCCAAGGGCTCTGCAGCAGTGGACTACAACTAGTCAAAACCAGGGCTCTGCTAGGCACAGGAAACAGCAAATTCCTGACTTACTGCAACATAAAATGATGTGAAATAGCTCATGATTGAGTTTTCACTTGTTTACAATTACACATTGAAATAGCAAAGATTTCTTACATTGGTTAAACAAACTATGTTTGGAGTGGGTAAGGCAGGGTGTGTGAGATGGGGTCTCGATTTGCAGTCCAGGCTTAACCTGTGCCTCACTATGCAGCCCAAGCGGGCCTCAAATTTGAGGCAATTCTCCTGCTTCAGTTACCCAATGCTAGAATTACAGGTCTGAGCCACCATGCCCAGATAAACAAACTACATTCTTAAATTATTCTTAAAAGATTTCCTTTTACTGTTTTAATACAGTTACTAGAAAACATAAAATTACATCTGTGGTTTACATTATAAATCGGTTATAAGTAACCTTTCCCTTCTATGATTAAACTTTATTATCTGTAACATGGAATTAATGAGACTATACTTAAGATTATGATAAATATCAAATAATTAAAATATATACTTTATTATTTCATGTGTATGAGTGTATTGTCTGCATGTGCATAAGTGCATCTTTGTCATCTAATACCCACAGAGGTCAGAAGAGGGTGTCAGATTCCCTGGAACTGGAGTTACTGTTAGTCGCCATGTGGGTGCTGGGAACCAAACCCTGGTCTGCTGCAAGAGCAGTCAGTGCTCTTAACTGCTGAGTCATCTCTCCAGCCCCAGAAAATCAAATAATTTTTAAAAGCAGCCTTTATCAAAATGTCTAGAACATATTAACTAGTAAAAGAATCTGGTATGATTTTTTAATGTTTTTTGTTCATTTATATTTCCTTATGAAATTTACAATAATTTTTTTACTGAGCTACAAGACTCACAACCAAAGTTAAATATGCTCCTCCGTGCTCTCAATATTGAATTTATCTCTAGGGTCAAACAGTAAATAAAAGCAGATACCAGGGCTGGCAAGATGAGCTTCACAGGGGCAGCTAAGGAGGCGGAGTACCGGCGTGCCTTCCTCACAGCGAACTTCTCGGTTGGGAGAGATTTTCCGGCAATTCTCTGCTTCAAGCCATCCACCTGCCTGTGAAGATCCCCAATCCCACAGAAAGGTCAGTAAGCACACGTAATTCACACACACATTTTCATGCTGCACCACAGACGTAGAAACCTGTTCAAAATGCAGATTCTCGGGCACTGCCTCAGACCTGAATCAGCAGCCCATTCAGGTGATCTGGATGCACACTTCATTGAGAGCCACTGACTAACTGACGTGATGATCTGAATGAGGACTGTCTTGCATAAGCTCAAAGTCCCCGGTTTGTGTCACTGTTTGGGGAGGGTCACAGAACCTTTAGGAGGCGTGGCCATGCTGGGGAAAGCATGTCATTGGGAGCTGGCCTTGACAGAATATAGCTTGCCCACTTCTGGTCTGTTGCTCTCTGCTTCCTGTGCCTGTGTGAAGACATGAGTGTTTGGTTGTCTGCTCCAGCAGCTTCCTGCTGCCACCTGCCAGGCCTCCCCACCATGATGGACTTCTATCCCTCTGGAACTGTAAACCCAATAAATGTTTCCTTCTATAAGTTGCGTTGGTGTTTTTATCACAGCAACAGAAAACATAGCTAAAATAACACACTTCCTTCTAGTCAGCCAGGCTAGTCCTAACATTTGTCAAACACAGTCCAGGTAATCTATGTATAAAACTGGCAATTTCCAAAAATAAGCAGGAAAGAGCTCCAAATAGTTACCTAGCAAGAAGGAAGAATGGAAATTAGTACATTTCCTGTTCCTAGCTGCAACTATTGCACAGATCTATAACATAATGTGGTTCAAAAGACAGCCATCCATTTATGTATAATTTGAGGAAGTTTATCAAGCAGCGATGATTTTGAAAATAATAAGTTTAGGATTTAATATTTGTAAACTTCCTCTAAAAATTCTAAGGACGCTGGGCAGGACAGACGGCTTGACAGGTAACAGTGTGACTGCACATGCATCAAGAACTGAGTTCAAATTCCCAGAACTGACATAAAAAGCCACTGTCACCCCAGTGCTGGGGGGAGGGAGGTGTGAAGACAGGGGGATCACTGGGGCTTGCTGGCCGCCAGTCTAGCTTCAGGTTCAGTGAGAGACCCTGTCCCAAGGGAGTAAAGTGTCCTGCTCTGGCCTCCACACATGCATGTCATGCACACACACATATACACACGTGTACATACATCTCTCTCACACACACACAAATTCTAAGGAATTCCGATTATAAAATTCATAAGCACATGAAATGAAACCAGAATGGAGAGACCACACGCTCCTTGGGGGCGCTTTCTTACGCATAATTCTATGAATGCACAAACAAGTTGCTGAGAAAGGATTCAATAAAATATCTAATTATATCACTGAATTAACTGAAAGAAGAGAAAAAGCAGGAACAAAGCCCTAGTAACAAACCCTAACTCTAGAGCATAAATAAAACGGTGTGTTTTAATGGTTCCCAGACACACAAGGACATCTGAAAAATCATGCTAAAAGAACAGCGTGCTGGTTCTTGGCTAACTGCATTCTGTTAAGGGCCTCCATATCAGGGAGCAGAGACAGTTAAAAATGTGGAAACAGCCTCTCTCCTGGGTTGCCCTCTGCGCCTTGACTCCCCCATCCTCATTCACCCTCCCATCTCCCCCGCCCCCTCTCCTCCTAGCCTGGGTACTGTCTCATTCCTTGTCTTGGCGCCCCAGACATCCAGGGAACCACCACTGCTTCCTGATCCTTTCCATCCAGACCAACCCAGTTCCTTCTAGCAGTGCCCACGAGCCTTCTGGGCTTGGGCCTGCCGTCACCTCCCTCTCCTTCCCTGGGCTGTACAACCTGCCAGCCTCTTTCCTGGACACTGGGGCTGACCTCTTGGCTTCCTGATCCTTTGCATCCAGACCAACCCAGTTCCTCCCGGCAGTCCCCAGGAGCCCTTGGGGCCTCTTCCCGCCTCCATCTCCCTTTGCATCTCTGGGTGGTACGGCCACCAGCTGCCCAAGACCAGCATCTTTCCTGGGCCCTGCTCCCAGGCCAGTCCAACCCCCAAATTCCTGAGGACAACATCTTTCCTGGAGGGATCCAGACCTTAGGAGAAAGCCTGAGCGCATCTGAGCCTCATCTCACTTGGGCCTCTGTGGGAACTCCTGGAGACAAAAGCAATCCGGCCACTAGATGAACCAGCTTTTCATGCCCAAAAAGTAAACCACAAAGGCACATAAGGTTTACAAAAAGCAGCAGACCTAAACTTGAAGACTTGAGTCTCACACAAGAATCAGAAACTACAAAAGAAAGTCACATGTCAAAATCATAGAGAAAAAATAATAACATGAAAAACCAAAATAACATACCACTACCAAATACCAATAGTCCTCTAGAGGAGTACAATGAAAACCCCATGGAACTCAAAACAACAACTACAAACATGATAAAAGAATTCAGTGAATTTAAAGAACACACAAA